TATTTGAAATTTATGTGCTTTGGCCTCATAACTGTTCAAACCTACTGGCTAGAATAGAGCCCAGACAGGCAAAAACCTGGAGATCTGTGAGGTTCTAGGTTTAGGTGCCTTTGAAGAGTTAGGCCCAGGAGGTTGCCCTTGAGTTGTGTATCCTGTTAACAAACTTGGGTGGTTTCATCATTAGTGAGTGAGTTCACCAACAATGAGGCATTCCAGATGCTTACTGTGTTGCTGGCACAATGCTTAAGATCTATCGGTACAAAGTAGCTTATAATGCTAGAATAATTATATTTTTATTTATAATACACATTTGTAGTCGATTATGGCCTGATTCATGCTGACGTATACGTTGAACTTGGGAGTGTTCGAAATTTTAACAAACCAAAAACAAATTGGTCTTTTGACAGCTTGAAAGTGTTACATACCTGAACATTTCTGGAATAGATAGAATCTATTGTCGTGGCCTAAGATTAGAATGATCACTATGCAATTAAATTAATGAACACGTCAATACCACAGATAAAATTACTAAGGGAAAAATACAAATTAAACAAGCCCAAATGGGGCTTCATAAATCCCAGGCTGTTTTTTAAGGGAAAAGTATATTTTTAGAGCAGATGTAGATGGAATTTGTCTTCATTTTTGCTTAAAAGAACATTATACTGTGCATGTTCTTACCATTTGATGACTCAGTGGGAAGTAAGGGAGCGAGCTGAAACCACAGTGCTAAGAAGAGGAAACTATATATGGTAAAATCTATTTCTTAAACACAGCCTTATTGCATACAATGAGAGAACTAAGTCACAAGTCTTATAATGATTGGAGTGGGGGAGGAATTTCAAAAAATAAAATGATACCAAATGAGTAGTTTAAAAAAGAATGTTTTCTTTGTATTTTAACACATTAAGGTTTAGATTTTTGAAACTACTGATTTTTTTTTTTTTTTGCAAGGAAGGAAATGTCAGATTGTCTATCATAGTTTTTTATTATTGAGAAATAGATTATTATATTCTTGGTATGATAGCTCTTAATGCTTTCACATTTGAAATAAAAGTACATACCAATGAATAGTGCAGTTATTGCCATTTTGATTAAATACCCTAATTCTCTGGGAGGAATGCTAGTACTGGAGTACTGTGGTAGTAT